CATACTTTTAAACACAAAGATTTTGAAGAAACAGAAAGCTTCGGTATATTATTTTAGCTTGGTTGTTTCCCTTACCCTCTACATTTTTATTATTTTTATATTTTTCCCTGAAAGACTTGAACATAATTATATCTTTTTAAAATTTGCTTTAATTTTTCAAAGCAAGAGTCATAAAATTTAATGAATAAGTGTCATAGATTAATTCTAAGTAGTTAGAAGTTCACACAAATAGATACATTAACTATGATTAAAAAAATAAAAAGCCTGTATATCTGAAAAAGCCAGAAATTATATTGACCTTTCTGTAAAGAATTTTGTTTAAATTATACATGAAATAATTGCTGTTTCTTCTTCTAACCATTTAATTTTCAATTTTCAATTTCTAATCCATAGCATGTGATAATCAAGACTATTTGCAATGAGCTCCCTATGTCTCCAAGTTTTCAACATGAAATTATCCTTGTCAGTGTCCAGTGTGAGCAAGTACTGTGTTCATTTTTGTCAAATAAACCAGAAGTTTTTAATTTTACACCTCTCCAAAGTGACATGAATTACTAAAAATGAAAACTTTCTGGATGCTGTACTTGGAGAGAAACAGCATTTCTAACTTCTCAACAGGACGAGCAACTCTTATCTCATTCAATAAAGACCTGTATCTTCAGAGATAACACATGTGAAAGTTACCTTTACTGGATGAAAAGAATGGAGATATATGTATGTATGTATAATACTTGCTATGAACTGTTATTATGAAGATTTTTAAATGAAAATAATAAATTGTTGTTCTAATTGGTATGATGACATTCCAATTACTAAGTTATAAATATCTGAAATCAGACTGAAGAGCAGGTAAAGACATCTGCTGTGTATGTACATAAGAGAATATAAAGAGAACATATTTTTAGATGTATTTAAAACATAACATATATAAAATGCAATCAAAGTTATGGTAATTGATTAAACAAGCTTACTTCTTCCTCAACCCTCACTGTATTGTGATTAGAGGAAGTAATTCCCCAGAAACCTTGGTGGCCCACAGCAGGAGATGACCTCTTTAAGGGAAATTATTCAGTTAGGAATTTCAGGGTACTATGGTGAATCAATTCACCTAAAAGACATGACCAAGAACTTCATAAATCCTACAAATAAAGTTTAGGTTATTTTTTTTCAAGGTGAGTTTTGATTGAGTCATGTAATATATATCTATATATTATATTTCTATCTGACAGTTGTTATGTTCTGCTATTCTTTTTTCAATGTAATGCTTCCTTAGTAGTTGATAAAGGACTAAGATCAACTCGACTATAGTAATACTCAAACATTTGCCTTTTCTCATTCCCATGTTCAAATTTATTTTTAATAAGCTTTTTTAATAGAGGGAAATTGAACCTTCACCTTTTATCTCAAAAAGAGTTTCATGGGTAAAAAACATCTTTAGGGGATCAGAACATATCTTTTTGGTGGACAGAACTACATATTTGATATATTACATTTTTAGTATACTACATATTTGATATACTACATATTTTGTATATATTTTTTCCTATTCAAGAGTGATAAGGAAGCGTAAGCACCACTGCAGCAAGGATGAGAACTGGGAGCAGCAGGTTAAAACAGTGCTTCAGAAATGTAGCCATACTTTGCATAATCTGACCCTATGGATTCTTTTAGTATAAGCAATGTGTGAAAGCATGAATTGAGAGAAGGAATCAGTAAAATGTAAGCAGAATTCCATCGCTATAAAATCATTAACCCTTCCCTTTCCTGTCCATTCCCTCTGGAATAGAAACTCACAAAGTAACTTTATCTCCCTTGATTGATATTTGTAATGCTTTTGTAGGGGGGGGGATGCTTGCTTTTAAATGAATTGTAATAATAAATATTATAGCAAATGCAAAAAGGAGACTGGAAACTATCACATTGTGATTGAAAATGTTAAGAAACATGAAGATACGGAAGGATATAAGAAATTACTGAGACTTTTTTTTTAGTTGTGCCCTGTCCTTTCCTTGAGTTCAGTTAGTAGTAACATTTTGTTTAGATTATTGCGCTGGAGTGGGGGATGGAAGACAATGAGTAGAGAAGTGTCAGTTCAGGTCCATGTCTCACATTGCCAAAAGTGACTAAAATCTAGACTTCCATACAGGATTTATAACTTTTATTGTGAATACACTCTTTTGTAATTTATCTTCTTAAGTCAATCATGTATAACAATGCTTTAAAAATGCTTAAAATGGTCATATTGCCATGGTTTGTTTCTCTGTTCAATGAGTTTGTTACTACCTTGGCTTCTTTATTAGATTATCTGGTAAGTGACTTCAATGTGCCTAAGTACGGGAACATTTTACAAACAACAACACACTGAGAATACCTGCCTTGTTTGTAAGTGACTGTCTCCACCTCAACTTAAAATGAACAAGAAAGTTTTCAAGTGAGACAAAAATCCCATTGTTCATGCTGATGAGGGCAGTGAGGAGGAAGGCAAAGCATCTGTGGAATA